ATAGCGCGCCACAGACACGGTATACTTAGGTGGACTGTGTCATGGTATTTAGAAAGGATACAGGTGTTACTTACTAATTCCGTACGCCAGTGGCAAAGTTTAATTAACTAATTTTTTGGTGATATGTATCGTATGATACAAAAAACGTTTTGCCGATTCTAGTAAAATTATACTACGTATTAAAAAAATTAAAGCTGGTAAAAAAATTTTGTTTTCCAATTAGTAACATTTTATCTATTGTGTTTTATCCTCTCAGTTATAAATCAAAGAATGTGTAGTTGTTCTATGTTTTATTCTTAATGGAACACCCTGTAAATAGAACATAAAGCATGATCATACAAACATTTATATCACATTTAAAAAATGGCAGTATTAGTTTTACACTTCAACTCAATCTCCAATAGAATCGTACACATGTCTGCAATATCTTTTTTTAAACCATCTCGACTATTAGTTTTTTTGCGATATTACCCCTACCCTATTGCTCTGCTGTTATTTTGCTTTATATACAAAATACTTTTATAAATAGTGAAAAAGAAAAAAAAGAAACAGATTCCTTTATGAAAATTATACTGAAGTATTACTGTGAAAAGTGGAAATTGACTTTATGAATCAAATAAAATATCTTAAGCATCGCTGATTAAAGCATTCATTCATATTTCCCTTGATCTTTCTTGCAATATTCAAATGCATTGAAAAAAATTCAATAAAGAGAGAAATTTGCAAAGTTATTAAACTCAATAAATAAGAAATGTAGATAATTATATTTTCTTTTAACTGTGCTAAAAATACACATTAAAATTATTTCCTTTGATAGAATATTTACCATTCGTATGGTACTTAGTGATAGGTATTACTTCCAATTAAAGGCCTATAGATCCACTTTCTTCTATTGGCAACATAAGTCAACAGATATCTCAAATATACGAGGTGGTATTTTTGTTGAAAGTACCTTTATTTTTGACAAACCTCGTATACGACTGATAAAATTTGTTATTCGATTGTTGTGTATTAGGTTTTAAACATTGCTCGACTTTTTATGAAGAACACCTATTATTAATGAAAAAGTTCTTCATATACCGCCAACTTACGTATAGACCGTCAGTGGCATCTGAGAAACATTCAAATACCCTGATGTAATTCGTAAATATTAAATTACTTTTATGTATTATACGAGTATGAATACATAATACCCAATATAGGTAAACGTACAAATCCTGTAACAAATCTACATGACTATTTGTAACTTTTCATATACAGTATATGTATATATCCATTGAATTTATTTCAATAATCAATATTGCTTTAAAAAGCAATATACGTTGAAATATATTCTGAAAACTTAATTTTTTATGCCGTATTAAATGAGATTACGAAGTTGTGGATATCAAAAATGTATGTGCTTACATATATCGAATGATAAATATATTAGATTTTGCAGTTGCCAAGATCTTTGATAATGGGCTTGCGAAGAGCATATCAAATCTCAGCATCTCGTATTTAAAGGGAAGTAATAAAGTTCTTGATACATTTTATCAATAATTCTATCGAATTTACTAACGAAAACTTCAATTTAGAAAATGGGATGCTGAAGATAGCATCAAAATAAGAAAATAAAAAAATATAGATAGTTTATAAATAGTTTTTGTTCATTTGTATTTCAATTTAAAGATTTGGTTCTAATAAATTATAAATAATGAATATAAACAAACATTTAAGACGCTAGTATTATGACGAGTTATAAAATATACAGGGTTTGTCAGTAAAGGGAAAAAAATTAAACTCTAACTTTCGATTAATGTTCGATGAAAGAACGGGATAATGTTTCTAGAGTATTTGAGGAATATTCTGGCACATTCGGCAATATTTTAAATTTGTATATAAATACTGATGGAGGATGAACAAAATCAGTTATTATATGGACAGTGAAGATAAATCGTGAATAGTTTAAAGACATTCGAAATATATATAAATTAGAATAGTAGTGTTATACAATAAATAAGTATTTAAATAAACTATTGTTTAAAATAAACAAACATCACAGTATGTTCCTCTGATATTAGGTTTTTTTAACATGGCTATGTTTAGTCTCTTCAAAAAAAGTGTATGGTCAACTTTAGATACAAGAACCAAATGGATTGTGTTTAGAACTTCAGTAATGCTAGACACGTTGGTTGTCCGTAGTTATGGCTACACCGGTTCCGACATTTTCCATTTTAAGTGTCCGTTTCTTGAATTGGGTCGTCATTTTATTGGATATTTTCGATAGGATCGGGGTACGGGATAATATGAAACGCTTCCTGTTCAGCGGGTAGGTTACGACTACACGGTCCCTAATCGGTTGAGACATCGTAATGATAAATTTATTTCGGACGAAAGTTGTTATTTCACTAACGACAGAAAATGGACGAAAGCGCGACATGCACTTTTCTAGGGTTTGTACAAATTTAATGAATGCACAGAAAAAATACTTTTTGTAGAAAATTTTACTATAATTTATAGATAAAAACTATTAATTATTGTAGCAATTGAATTGTCGAATAAAATGCTATAACAATAGGAAAGAAGACCACGAAACGCAATACATTTTTAATATAAATTCATACAATGATTACCAAACATTTTTAGAACAATTCTTATGATGCATATGGATATTTTTTGCTACATATTGTAGATAATAACTCTACAATACATTCTGGACAAATATATGGAAATTTTTACTACAAATGGTTCCTGTACTATTTATTATAGAGAAAAAAATGTATTATTGTAGAAATTTATTATACAATTTTTTTTTTCGTGTGCTTACCTAATAAGGGTAAATTTATACAGTTGTTTAACAATTTTTGATTGCCGATTCTGATTTTCGACCAGTAAAACACTATACTTTTTCAACGAATTCCAGTATGCCATGTAAGTACTAAAACGAAAAATCAAACGAAAACAAACGTTTCATTTTGTATTAGAAACAAAACAATCTTAAATATTAGTTTAATATTTAAAAATTAATAATAACACTTCCAACTAACTTCATATTAATAAACAATTGTGGGTTGTTTTAAATTTTACATTATTTTTATTATTTTATTTTTAGTTCAACAAAAGTGGAAGCCTTTGTCTAAGACTTGCTACGCGTTTATGATTAGGTAATATAAAAACTGATTTTTATTGTAACAGGGTGATTTTGCTATTTATTAAAGAAAAAACTTTATAGGGTGAAAACAGCGTAACCAAATGATGATGTCATAAAAAAAATAGAACATAATAATATATTACCAAAACTAATAAGTCATGTGTATTAAAAAAAAGTTTTAATAGTTAAATTATTAGTAAACAATACATATTGTGACAATAATTGGAGCTAACTGCACTTTTTGTCAAAATATAATTGATATATTTAAATATGGAACACAAAAGGGCGAACCCCACCCATGCTAAGTAGGTATTTATTAAAAATCGGTTTATAAAAATATAGTACGGTTTGGACCTAAATCCATTCAACGAATAAGCCCGTGTTTTGCATTTAACTTGCACATAAAATCCTTTATATAGGATAATACCATGAAGTTGTGGCTAAAGGGTTACTTCCAATTTTGTTGGTGTTAATAATGTGAAATCCGTGGGCGTTTAGGGAATTGTTCCCTAAATGGATAATACATTACGGCTCGTCGTTAGTCTGTTCACGGTCCAAAACTTTTGTTAATTATTAATTTAATAAACAAAAACAATTATATGTCGGATCTATTATATAAATTTATAATGACATATATAAAGTGTGCCTAAAAATTTATACATAAACGGAACAAAGTTCATCTTATGTTTTATAAAAATAAAATAGTCTTAATAAAAAGTACTGCATTGCTTGGAAATCCATAATCAAGTATGAAATATGTAAAATTAAATAAATTCCAATATTGGACTGTTTGGAAGCCCTAATAGAGCTGGGTAATCAAAACAGATTAACAGAGGACATAAGGGCAATGAAGAGGCTGATTTACTAGCCCGAGAAGAGACCTCAAATGCTTTTATTGGCCCAAAACTCTTCTGTGGTGTGACTAAAACAAATATCAGAACATGCACAAATCAGTGGATGTTTAAAAAATTTCAGGAGTGGTGAAAAAAGTTCTTAAAATGACCATCGCCTAAATTCACTGAGCATTTAGGTCTATATCAAATTTTATGAGTTGAAAACGAGGTTTGTAAAAAAATGGCCAAAAATAAAGTTCCTACCTTTATTTTAGACAAACATCGTATACAACTGGCAAACTTTAGTATCAGATGATTGAATTTTAGGTTTTAAGTCATGGAGAACTTTTTATGTAGAATAATTTTTTCCTAAAATTTATAATAAAAAAGTTTTCCGTATCTCGCAAACTTACGTAGCCAGTTGGCGGCATATGGAAAACAATTTTATTATTAATTTTAGGAAAAAAGTAATATTTATTTCAAATACTTAACGATGCTAAAATGGGCCTTTTCAGGAGATGAGCCATGTATTTATTTGTGTCGCTTGTAAGTGCTATTTGATTTGACGGCGTTCTACCTGGGTGTGGTTTTCCCCATTTTTGTTTTTCCATTACACATTTTGTCACTTTAGAAATTCATGATGCATTATCAATGTGATATTCAAATTCATTCCGTTTAGCGAAATCAATTTTCCATTTCGGAATAAACATATTCACTGAAACATTATAGGGTGGTGCTGGTGGTGGGTGCCATACGTAAATTCAAGAACTTTCCTCGTTAAAGCATATTATGGAGAGTGATAGAAGTTTCTATAATTTATTAAATATTTCAATTTAATAGCTATTTTTAGATGAATATTTAAATACAAAATAATTAGGAAATTATTACTTTGTGATGTCAGAAATATTAAATAAATTTACCTAATTTCTTGATCAGTAATGATTGAGAGTATGTAGTTTTGAAATATAGTCGTAATAAAAGTTTCATTGTTAAAATCATTTTGGTATAAACGTTCAACAAATTTTAATACTTACATTTTTAGTTTCTAATATATGAAGTCCCGTAATTTGTAAACATCTGAAACAAAAAATATCTGTTAATAAAAAGTTCTATTCCGTTTTTTCGAATACTGTCATATTATTTTTTTAATCTCCAAGTAACCCTTAGATTAAGTTACATAAATTTTGTATTAAAATATACTGCATTTTGAAGTGGCTAATATACTTTATTAAATACGAGTCTGAACTTTGCCACTTTCGATTTTTCCTAGAAAGAAGTTATAACAAAAAAATACAGTAATTACTAAAGTGATTCTGTATTTTTTATTTTTCATCCTAGTTATGAGTTGTTTGACTATATTTTCCATCTAAAAATGTCTGCTGTAGACTCCGTTTCACTAGAAAAAAGTCAGCTGAAGTTGCAACAATGAAAATCGCAGAAACAAAATTATGTTTTGTTTACCTACGTCGTTTTGTAACGACAGAGTGACGCCACTGGCGTAGAACGAACATTTTTATGCCGATATCCATTTATTTATTAGCATACGATTGCAGCGGTGGCTTCTTCTGTCATAAAATGGATTCTAATCATCAATTAAAAACAGTTTTAAGATATATGTTCGTTTTCATTAAGACTTTTTGCATCTTTAAATATTATTGCACAAAATTAAGCGAATTTTATCGAAACCGTTTTCAATCTAATTGAATTTAATAAGATTGGCGTTTACTTTAGAAATCTAAACCAAATTAAAATTTCATATTCTTTGTTAAATTGATTAAACTTCAATAATTTAATACGAAAATTGATTAATAATTGATATTTAATAAACGAAAAAGTCGCTTTTGCCGGTTTCCAATTAAATATCCTTGGATGTTTGTAATAATGGCTGGTATCGACAGGTATAGGTGATCAGCTGGAAAAACGGAAACATTTAAATGTTTCTATCAATTAATTTAACCGCAATAATAATCAATAGCTTAAAATGTATGTTCGTATTTTATTGTTCTATAATTATATTTATACTATAAAATAATAATTATAATTAATGTTGAGGTTATAACTAATTAACAATTATTGGAGACTTGAATATCGACATTCTGAAATAAGAATATTCTAGCGAATATATCAATGTTTTAAATGAATTTGGTTACCTATTTACAATAAATAGCCCAACAAAGGTTACAGAAAACACAAAAACTTCTATTCATCACATTTTTATTAAATCTAATTACAATAGCACTGATAAAATAATGCCCTTTGTTGTACGAACAAATATAATAAGATTTCAAATTGATGTTAATTTTAAATCTTGTATCATAGTTTAGTAGAAAGTCATTTGAGAAGTGCCATCATTATGTAGGGTAATACTTTTCAAAAATACATCTACAACCACTCGAATTTCTACAAATACTATGGATCTAAAACAATTTTTTTATTGTAATAATAATATTAAATACCATTCAAATAAACAACTTTTTAACCTACTGGATCATCCATATAGCACAAGATAAAAACATGTTCATACTGTTCCTTGTACTCAGAAATCAGTAAGACAACAATCGTATCTGTATCTACTCTTCCAGTTGAGGTAAAAAGTAATACCTTGTCCATATTTAAAAATAAGTTAAAAAGATTTATTAAAAATGAAAAAATGTTGTAATTAAACAATATTAAGTCAAAACTTTTATAATACATTAATTTTGTTTTATTTATATAGAGAATAATAGAAACATTTCTCTTTCTATAAGGTAAAAGAACAAGAGTAAAAATATTACAGTACACAAAACTAGTTAAGTAAAAAAAATTAAACTACACCATAAAAGTCTTGATGACTATACCGTGTTTGCTAAATTCATAGCAGAAAAGTGTTAATATTTTTAATTTAATATTCAGAATAGTAGTGTGTAATAAAAACAAATATTTGTTATTATAAACTCTTCAACGCTTGTTGGTAGAATTAAATTTTAATAACTAGCATCTAAAACACAGTTATGTCAAGGGTTATGGGATACTAAAGTGCAAACGACTACACCCTTCAAACATTGTAAAATGTAGTAAATCCTTATTGATTTTATGTAAAATATTTCATATACTATTTACACTTTTAAATATACGAAATGGACGAAAAAATATTAAACACTAGTACAGAAATAGTACACAAATAATATAGAAAGAATTATAAAAATAATATAATATACAAATAATATAATAATAATAATAATAATAATCTTTTATTCCATTGAGACATGATATTTGAAAAGTTAAGTAGAACATTAAAAAAGATGTACGTTTTATTATTGCGATAAATATGCTATAATACAAATTATTTACATAATAGTTAAGCTATATAAATTTCCTATATTTATAGCATATGCTATCAACATACTTGTTTGTAAAAGAACAACTTGATGTGATGACAAATAAAAGCATAGCAATAAACTCTATAGCAACTTTCAAAATGAATACGATTTCAATGTTGTATGAAATTGCTTCAGGGAATTATGATACATAAAAGTTCTAAAACTTTATTGAATTTTAATGGAGCTGCGCGTAGTTGAAGTGGTAGTTTTCACCAACATTAAACGGCATTAAACGTTTACGTGTTTTTGATGACAACACACCAAAAAATTGAGACGAAATGAATTGCTACTGACTTCCGTCAGATACAGATAGTGTCGAGTAACTATACTATTTTTTTACACTTGCAGTAAGTATGAAATAATTATAAAAACAAACTAAAATGTATGGATGTCCTGACAGCTGGACAAATTGTATCCTAGAAACTATGCGCAGCAGAATTTAAAAATTATTTACGATTTGAAACTGAGATCTAATACATTTTGCAACTCTATTAATACCGTGAACCACACACGTTACATGGATAAGGTGCATAAAATTTTTTAAATTTTGTGCCATTTTAATCAAAAAGGGACAGCGTCTGACAATAAAGGTATATACAGGGTGTTATTGAAATACACGTACATATTAAAACTGGGTATTGCGCAGATCCCCACTGAATGTAGAAAAATATTATTTTTTAAAAATACCCCTTATTAAGGGAGTTATTAATTTTTGAAAATTAATTCTAAAACAAACGTACTTCACTGATATATTGAGGATGACCTATATAAATTAGGTTTATTTACCTATTTTAAACATCAACAGTAATTAATATGCAAGTTTTTGTCAGATGATAAGAAAACTAGTCTTGTAAGAAATAACCATGTTGCCAAGATTTTCGAATTAATTTCTATTTCCGAAGACTGGTTTTTACTACCCTCGTTATCAAAAAACTAGAATATTTGATAAATGATTGTTTTTAAACTATACATTTTTGAAACTATAGATTATTAAAATTTTAGTTGATTTACGAATCTGGCTAACACGATCGCGTCATTTCCAAGTTGGTAAAAAGTGTTGTTACGATTACTTTTAAATATTTTTTTACGATGCCACTGTTTACGAATATTGAACTAGCGGATATAGTGCTGGTTTATGGGGCAGCTGGAGAAAATTCTCGGCAAGCACAAATCCTGTATCGCGAACGGTTTCCAAATCGGAGAATTCCGGACTGTCGTACGTTTATTTCAACTGTTCAGCATCTAAAGTATAATTTATAACCACCGTAACGTAACTTAACTTAACGCCGTAGAAACTTAACCTAAGATATAAAAATAAAGTCTATTTATAAATGTTCGTAACGTAAGAGTTGAGCATGCGTGTTGATTTCAGAGATTATCAAATTATTGACAACCTTATGAAATAAACAAGTGTAAACTATGTACTTAACCTCTAAATAAAACTTATAAATTATGATTTTGCTATATAGAAAGAATATATTAACTACTTTAAAAGCAATAATATAAAAATATAATAAAACAAAATAGTTTACCGAAGATGTTGATTGTTTTTGAGCAATAATTAGAATTTAATCTTTTCTAGCAAAAAAATTTTGTGTCTTATTTCAGTTCTAGACTTGATGTTTATAGGTATATGCATAGACTCATATCTCATAGATAGTTTATCCCCAATAACATAAACACAAATCATTCACGATAATGTATGTCCATCAAAATGGAGAGTGATAGTTTACAAATGGTATTTTTCTATTTATTTGTAAAAAAAAATGAAAAGAGAATAATTGACAGTTATCACATGCTGAACGCAGAATTATCTCATTGGCTAACCGTAAGGTCTTAAGTTAAGTTATGTTGTTAAGTTAAAAGTTGGTGAACTTTCTACGGTACGTTAAGTTCTTAAGTTACGTTACGAACATTATAAATAAGTATACGTAAATTCAATATTTCAACTTCTTACGTTAAGTTCTTAAGTTACGTTACGGTGGTTATAAATTAAGCTTAAGAGACCATGGGAAATTTGAGAGTGTCAATGCAGATCGAGGGAGAACAAGAACACAAAGAACATTGGCGGCCGAAGAAGAAATATTGGAAGCTGTTGAAAACCGGCCTCAATTAAGTTGTAGAAGACTAGGTCTTGAAATTGGAGTGTCCTCATTTGTTGTGTGGCGGACACTTAAAGAACAAGGTTTACATCCTTATCACATCCAAAAAGTCCAGGCCTTATATCCAGGTGATGAAGAAAAGAGAGTGGAGTTTTGTGAATGGATGATTCAAAAATGTGTTGATATTCCTGATTTTCTAAAAATATTATTGTATACTGACGAGGCTTCATTCACTCGTGATGGCGTGTTCAATATGCACAAAACGCATATTTGGAGTGATGAAAATCCTCACGCCATTAGGGAAACTGGGCATTAAAGAAAATTTTCAATAAATGTTTGGGCTGGCATAATAGATCAGTATTTAATCGGGCCTTATGTTCTCCCGAACAGATTAAATGGGCCAGGATATCTCCACTTTTTAGAAGAATTTTGCTAGTACTCCTAGAAGAGATACCGTTACAATTAAAGCAACGGATGTGGTACCTACTAGATGGCGCTCCTCCTCACTTTGATTTAAACGTACGGCAGTTTTTGAACATTAGATTTCCTCAAAAGTGGATGGGCAGAAATGGACCTACTAAGTGGCCTCCGAGATCTCCGGACTTAAATCCATGCG